AATTGTAATTATAAGATAAACAAAAGTTATTTTATCTATATTAAATGTTAAATGATTTAATTTGAAGGTGAAAAATTGTATTCGTATGATGTATCACTAGTTAAAATTGCATTACTTTTATACTGCAATACAAAAAACATTTTCATTTTCTTGATACAAAAGTTAGAAAGAAGAATGTTATGCCTTCCCAATCATAACTATTTTGGCAACATATTCATCCTTTATTTTCAATTTTTTTTCCGAAAAGAGCACACATTCCTTTAGGTATTATCCTTTTATGTGATTTCAAATTCGTTCGGATGGTATCTCCAGAATGTATTATGATAGGAGGTGATTGATAGAAAGAGTATTAAGTACGCTCTCACACGTGTGTACAATCATATCTTAAACTCTTATTTATATTAGTGGTTACGAGTTTCTATCATTTTTTTTACTTAATCGCCCAATCACATCTTAATCAACATTAGTTGGTTGATTCATAGTTATCATTAATTAAATATTAATTTTACTATTATTCCGTAATCGATCTATTAAAGTGATTGGTTTGAGAATCATCGATCAGGGTGATGAACCTGGTTGATAACCTAAAGTAATCGGTCATGATCAGTTAGTTAGTGAGTTTGACTTATTAACTAAAAGGATATACGCGTGTGTCGAGAAATGAGTGTTCCTTCTATAAAATGCACACACATAACATCTATTTCAACATTGTTTTTCAAGTGGTGATGAATGAAGATTTTGTTGGATTTCGTAGGTTAATCTTATGTTACAATCAGCAGCCAGGAATTAACATTTTTCACCATGTTATCCTATTTGATAAATAGCATTAAAAGAGTGAAAAAAATAACTTCACATCAACGACATCAACTCCGTAATACAAAACTTAAGAATCTAGTTGTTAACCTTCCAATTAAGATATGCATTTTACAATATTAACAATATGAACACAATAGTTGCATTTATTATATTCTCAACATTATACAAAGTACAAACACAATTTCTTTATCAATAGCAAACACACGAGAAGTTTCAAGCAGCGGAGATACATAACTTAGCCAAATGAAGAAATCATATTCCTTCTATTTGGCATTTATTGAAAACAAACGAAACAGTGCAATAACCATATAGCCTTAGATGGAGATACTGTTGGGAATTCCTCTGAAAGTCAAACCTTCCTCACTTGAAGGATAGAGCAGAGTATAAGGCATTTTAGCCGGTCCAGTGCGGTTTCTCAATGACTCATTATTGTTCTTCTGTACAAGCTTCTGTTCAATCTCTGCAAGCTTCTTCCCAAATCTCTTAAAGGCCTCTAATGGCCCAGCATCAGAAGTCCAATGGTCACCACCATCTCTCTCTCCAAGATAGAACTCATCAGATGTGTGCCTTGACAAGATCTCAATAACTGTAAGGTCAATAAGGGTCTCCTGCTTACCGGTAATAGTTTTCAAAAACTCCTTCTCAGGGTTCTTACCCAATGCAACATACTCAGCAGACCCTTTTTCAGGCATGAATCTTCTGCTAATAGTTGGCCTGTTAAGGATCAAACCACCATATGGATATTGTCCAAAGTTAACAGCAGCGTGAAGAGCTGAAGCTATCCATATTAGGGTAGTAGAGACTTCAACCAAATCTGCAGAAGTATGCATCTTTGGCCACCATGGCTTATCTTTCAAATCACCATGACCCACCTGAACAAGTTCTTTCCACCAAGCTTGAAGTTCGGGGTCTTTTTGAATTGCGTCATCTGACTTGTAGTAGAATGCCACATACTCTGCCACCCACGACTTGATGGCATCCCATATCTCCAGCCCATCAGAAGCATAAGGATAATCCTCAATCAAAAGCTTAATACCGTGGGGAGCAGATGGATCCTTAACTGCAACTCCTCTGCACCCGAATAACATTGATTAACACCAGAGTTATATCATGTTCGATTGAATTTATATTGTCAAATGTTTAAGTAAAAAAAAAATAAAAAATTAATAAAAAAAATTACTAGATTACTCACCTCTTGAGGAGATCATTAGGTAATGCTTGATCGTGTAAAGACCAATCCTTATATATCACAGCAGACAGTTCCAAAGCATATCTGCCCCATAAGAATGTTTTCTCTATAATACCGTTTTCATTGACCAAGGACTTGCGAGCAAGTGAATTAATGTTCATGGTGTCACGATAGTGGGGAAACAAGAGTTTGTAAACAGGGTGTAGCGCACTCAGTTGCCTATTTGTTGCTATGATGAATGGTTCAACCACTGCATGAGTGTTTAGCCTGTCGTTCACGTTATAAGAATCAATCATTAGATACATTGACAAGTTTAATTGCATGGATCTAATTGCAAGTTCACAATAACATACCAGTGGCTAACAAGTTGATGGTAGCATGAGTCATTCACAACGACATAAGCCTTTGCCAATAGCCAAATGTAAGCTTCAACACCCTCGTACGAAGGAACATAGACTTCACTAACAGGACCATGGTTGTCGCCTTGAGGATGCGGCTTGCTTAACTCGATGGCCAATGGTGCCAGTGTTCCATCCTCTTTCAAGAAAAATATGGTTCTTGTGGCATAAGTCTTTGTGGTAGATTCATTTATTTTTCTCAAATACGGAATGAGATAGTCATGGTGATCCAAAATGAACAACTTCTTGTTATGGATAGCCTGTTTAACCATGTACAATTATTAATTGATTGTTGTTCATTCGAATGACATCAGAGGAAAAATGAAAGAACAAGGCATTTTAAGGTGAAACTCGATGCTCGTATCATCATTACCTGCTCAACAGTGAGCCCACCCAAGCTAGGCTCCAAATGTTCTTTTGTTATAATGGAAGTATGATCACCGTAGGCTTGAGTATTTAGCTTGCTTCGTGGTGGAAACTCCTGGGACAATTTAACATGTGGTGGATGTGGTCAATAATCTCAATTTGAAAAGAAAAAGGCATGCAAAATTTTTAGCTGCATGTAATTTGTTACCAATCAACTTTGAAACTAAGCTTACCTCAAGAATCTTAATGACATTAGGATTGACACCCGCAATGGTTTCTCTTGCAAATTCTTCATCAGTCATCCATGCAGACTTATCCACTGTGCCAAATAAGAGCAATTCAAAAGTCCATCCATGTGATTGAATGTTGAATAAAAAATAGGAGTACATTGATGAAACTTTTGTACATATTCAAGATATGTAGCACACCTTGCATGACTTTAGGTGGTGGATACTTAAGAAACTGTTCACCATCAGTTCGAAAAATTTCCTTGACAACTGGTATGGGAGCGTATTTGCTGAGAAAGTTTGTGGGCAATGTAACTCCACCTTCATAAAGCTTGCGCACTTCAGCGAAATTATCAAACTCAAGGCTCAAAATATTTCCATCAAATGCATCAGTCAATACAGGCAACACATCTTGGACCACAGATTTCAATCCGTAAGTGAGAAAATCGGATGACTTCAAGTGACCAAACGCTTCGTCTCTTGGAAGGTAAACAAAGTCGCTGGGCTTCTCACTGTTAGGATCTGTGGAGACGAACACATATTACATGTTAGACAAAACCAAAGCATGAAAAGTATATATATATACATTGCAACAAAAAATGAATAAAGTGGGTAACCTTTTTTAGTTTTGGGTCTTCCAGTTCTTCCTCTACGAGGGTAAGGCAAGGTAGAACCTCCAAGAACAGGGCGAGCAAGGGCTTCACTTTTATCTGGGTTGCCCAAGTCATTGTAGACATCATAATCATAAACTCTATCCCATTCCTTTCGTTCTCCAGTTCCATCACCTCTTACAACCTTCAATTCTTCTTCTCTGTACTTCACAAGTGGGGCTGGTGTCTCGCCAGGAAGATACGTCTGCATTGTTATATCATCAATAACTTGGTTTATCTATATGGTGTATAAAAAACGAAGAAGAAGAAAAAATTATATGAAGTAACTTACGTTGTTGGCAAAGAAAATACGATCAGTATTGTAGACTTTGGAATTGTAAACCCAGGAGTTACATACAAAGTGAATGGTTCCATGGTTGGGAATGTCTTCGAGAGTTAGAGATTTGAGATAAAACTCAACTTGCATGAAATTCTTAATGTAAAATGCACCAGGAATTCCGAAATCAGTGTCCCATTCAAATTGAACATCATATGCATCTTCTCCCGCTCCCAAGGTTGGCAATGATATTTGTCCTCTCAAATTTGTAGCCTTTCCAACCTTTCCATTCCCATGTCCTAATCATATCAAATACACACAAAATTTAATTTACTTTCTGCTTATTATGTTTATATCCTTCACTAATCATTGTTAAGACGTAAAATATTAGTAAAACATATTTAAGCTCTTTAGAACAAAGCGATTGGCTAATTCAAAACAAATCACTGTTATAAAAATAAAATAAAATTCTATCCACGTTTTATTTCCTTGAATGAATTCAAAGACAAAAAGCCTATTTCTCATGACAAATAAAAAGCTCATTTTACTATCAGAACAATTAAATAAATTCTAAATAAGTAAAAAAAGCTTATTTTCGATTGAATGGAAAATTTAATTGGAAAGTCACTACAAAGCCACTTCAATCTCTCCACTTTATATCCTTCGCCTGCAAAATGGTATACTTAGTAATAATTGTCAGGATTAAGGATGTCAATGGGATAAGGTGCAGTGATCCTTTTTCGTGCGATTATCCGAATAAAAAATTATATAAAAATAATAAAAAATTATAAAAAATTGTATAGTTATTAAAATTAAAAAAAAATCATATAAAAATCTGTAAAAAAATTATATGTAAAATTAAATTTTAACATTTAATAAAAAATAACAATATTCAAACAAATTCTAATAAAATATAATACATAATTATTATTAGCAGATACAGATGTATATGAATACAAATCCTATAATACTCATATCCACTACTATAACATATGAATATAAAAAATATTTGTATCGTTATTTGGTAATATCTATTTCTTACCCGTATATCAGTGGATACATATATCTTTGACGTCTAAAAATAAAATAA